TTTTTTTTTTTTTTTTTTTTTTTTTTTTTTTTTTGCTGAGTTGCCCAGGCTGGAGTGCAGTGGTGCAATCATGGTTCACTGTACCCTCAACCTCTTGGGTTCAAGAGATTCTCCCACCTCAGCCTCCCTGGGACCATATCGGGTGCCACCATGCCTAGCTAATTTTCAGAGCATTTTTTTTGTAGAGATGAGGGTCTGGGTCTCCAAATGTTGCCTAGGCTGGTCTCAAACTCCCGGGCTCAAGTGATCCTCCCACCTTGGCCTCCCAAAGTGCTAGGATTACAGGTGTGAGCCACCACGACCAAAATAAAGATTTGTCATATTTTTTTTCAGGTATATACATTTTATTTTTATTCCTAAGGAGACTCTTGAATTGTTATCATATATACTTGGATTTTTTTTAGCAAAATGCCCACTGACGAGCATCTGTATTCCTCCCCAGATAGGATGGAATGACAGTGTGCTCTCTGGCCCCTCCCAACCCAGCCCTCTAGGCATTTTGTTTCATAGTGTTAATATTTTTACCACTATTTTTAAATCAATGGGTTATGATATCATAATTTTTACTTATTTCTTTGCCCAACTTTGTATCATCTGCTCTTGTATTTCTCATGGATTTCTTCATGTCTATTTCTGCAAGACATCTTTAAAACAGAGTTTAGGGGCCAGGCGCCGTGGCTCATGCCAGTAATCCCAGCACTTTGGAAAGCAGAGGTGGATGGATCACTTAAGGCCAGGAGTTGAGACCAGACTGGCCAACATGGTAAAACCCTGTCTCTACTAAGAATACAAAAATTAGCTGGGTGTGATGGTACACGTGCCTGTAATCCCAGCTACTTGGGAAGCTGAGGCAGGAGAATTGCCTGAACCCGGGAGGTGGAGGTTGCAGTGAGCCGAGATTATGCTGCTGCCCTCCAGCCTGGGTGACAAGAGCAAAACTCCGTCTCAAAAAAAATTGAAAACAAAAAATAAATACATAAATAAAACAGAGCTTAGGGTAGTAATGTGTCTGAGTCCTTGCTCTGAAGATGTCTGATTTGGGGTTTTTTCTAGGTATAATCTCTTTCCCTCCTCTTCCTCTTCCTCCTTCTCTCCCTTCTCTCTCTCTCTGAGCCTGTAGTATTTTAGTGTTCTGTGGTATCATCCTCATGTTCCTAGTTACGGGACCTCATTGATCCATCCCTGAAGGGTTCAGTGGCCTCGCAATCCACGTCCCCACCCAGATCTGCAGCCTTCCTCCTGTGACCTGAGCGTCTCCTCCTCAGTGTCCCTGTTCCCTCCCCTCCCACCCCCGCGTGCAGGTGGATGTCAGTGCGTGCACGCAGCCACGTTTTCTCGCCTGTTCCCATCTCTTTATCCTCCTTGGCTGGTTCCTCTGCTCCGTTCTCTGGCTCAGGAATTTGCTCTCCAGGGTTTTTCATTCTGCTCTTTAGCAGAATGTGTTACTGTTGCTTTCCATCATCAGACTTTTCACTCCCATGGCCTCTGTGTTCTTCTTCCTGATGGGTGCCCTCTCCTCTGCCTGGCGCTCCTGGAGGCCGGGCCCCTCTCCCAAGTGCGAATCTGATGGAGGCAGGTCCTTCTTACGGGGACCTCGTGAGAAATGACATGTCCCACCTGTCTCGACGGGTTGTTCTCTGACAGAGCAGCTGTAGAGCAGAGAGGGGCAGGGGTGAAGGGCCACGGTGGTGCAACCCACCACTTCCTCCAGCGAGGAGCTGAGAGGAACAGGAAGTGTCGGGACTTTAGGACCCACGCCTCCAGCTGAGGTTTTTAGACGTGATCCAGGGCAGACTGATAGTGAAGCCCCCACGCCCAGCCAGGAGCACCGCCGAGGCCTCCAGCGCACCGAGGGTGAGTGTGCAGAGGCCCCGCCACGTCCACGGTGATTTTTGGAGGGAAGCACTTTCCTGCCCTGGTCTGGAGTGACCCTGGTGACCCTGCTCATGGCCCCGGCCCAGGGGTGTCTGGCAGGAAGGGGTCTCCAGACCATCTGCTCCACGGTCCCCTTTAAGACCTAGCAAAGGGAAGTGCCTGCCACTACCCGCAGAGTCACACAGGGTGCTGGGAGCGATTGTGGCTGAGGGTGGCGCCGGCATGGGAGGACAAGGGACTGTGAGGCCGGCAAGGCCAGGAGAAGGCTGGGCCCACAAGCGCCTAGGGGGTGGCTGGGGGGTCCTGGCGCTCCGGGCTGGGCAGGAGGAGGGTTCCTGGGGCCTCCTCTGTGAACCTGCTGCGCCTGCCTGTGTTAGGCCCTCCTGTCTGCATGCCGCTCCGCCAGGCTACAGTGATTCCATCTCCAGATCAACTCGCAGTGTGTGGTGTGGTTTGTGGTGTGTGGTGTGTAGTGTGGCATGGCGTACATGTACGTGTGTTCTTGTGTGGTTCTTGTGTGTAGCATAGCATAGTGTGATGTGTGTGTGTATGTATGGTGTGCGAGTGTGTGTGTGATGTGGTGTGGTGTCTGTTGTATGTACATGTGTGATGCACGTGTGTAGTGTAGCATGGTGTGGTGTGGCACATGCTCCACGCTCCTCTGGGACCCTTAAGCTTCCCTGCCTCCTCTGTGGGGACCCCTGGGTGAGGTCTTGCTGTAGGGGAGCGGGCGCTGCTGTGCGATTCTAGTCCAGATGTTTCAGCTGGTGACCCTGGCCTCCCCACGACAGGCTCCTGGAGGCCGTTCCCAAGGTCCTGGTGGGAGGGGGATTGAAGCCATGCCCCTGGGTCCCGGGCCCACCTGGTCCCCTTCTCCCAATACTGCACTCTTGGGGCCAGCCCTCCCCACGCATCCTCCGCCCAGTCACCCCTTGCACCACCACACCCACACACAATCCCCTCTTCCCCGGATCTGGGGGCAGGGATCCTGCCCTGCTGTCCCTGTCCGTCCATCTGGGGCCCCTCTCCTCTGTCAGTTCCTGGGTGGGGAGAAGGAGGGGTGGCACAGCTGCAATGGGGAAGCGGGGGATGGCCTGAGAGCACAGCCTGGGAGCGAGCTGTGGGGACACAGGGGACACTCACTGTCACTCAACTTCCCCGTGACGGTGGCGCGACGCCCACAGGTTTGGGGGCTGAGGCTGGATTCTGGAGGCTTCACAGAAATGAGCTGCTAGAAGCTCTGGGCCGTCCACCGTCACCGCAGCGCTTCACCATGAGCGGCTTCGCAACTCCACGCCCAGCTCACTGCAGAATCCCGGGGGCCAGCGCCTCACTGAGAGTGGCCTCCAGACTCCACATTTTAGGAAGGAACTTCCACCCCACCCAGTTGACTGCAGAATCCCCGGGTCCCTGCTGGCCTGGCACCCAGTGTTCCCCTTGGTATTCGGGGATGAGTGGGGGAGTCCCTTTGCCGGGAAGAGGTCCCTAGCTGGGCCCCTGCAGGCGGTGGCTGAGCCTTGGCCCCAGGGCCAGTCCCCACCGGGTGTGCCATCCTGAGCAGGGCCACAGGGCAGATTCCCCAAATGGCCAGGACCCCTGTGGCCGCCTGACCCCGGAGGGCTGAGGCCCTCGGTGAAGCAGGTGACCGGGCGGGTGTGGGGTTTGGTGTCAGCTCCACAGCGTCATTGCCACTCAGCATATGAGTTTCCACTCCCAGCAGTAAATGAACAGACGAGCAACTGAAGGCGCCTCCAGTGCTGGGAGAGGAGACGCTCAGCCACCCAAGGGCCTTTGCCCAAGGGGAATAAATCCGGCCATTTCCTGGTGGGCATGGGCTGGGCTGGAGAAGCTGGGCCTCCTGGCAGGGGCTGGCATGAGATCCAAACACTGCACAGGCAGCTGGACAGTCCTCCCCTGGGCCTCGGGATTCTCACCTGAACCACCGGGTGGTAACCCCTGCCCCTCAGGCAGCATCAGTGTGACCTGCCTAGTGCACTGTGAGCCTGAGGCAATACGGTCACCACCGGGGGACTCCCTGGGGAAGAGGCCCCCACACTGCGAGGTGCCCATGAAGGGACCACCGCCACCCAGGAGATGGGAGGGACCTTGTCTGCACCCTGTCTGGAAGGGACGTGGGGTGAGCAGGCTATTTGGTCCCCTGGGACTCAGTTTCCCCATCTGTGAAACAGGAGGGGTGGTCTGGCCAATTGTGCACACTCCAGCTGTCTCTATAGTCAATCATGTAATTTGAACTCACTTCCCCAGGGCTCCTGCCAGGCCCAGCTCTGTCCACTCCAGCCCAGGCCAGGCCCCATCAGGTACCAGGGCTGTGGGGCATTTGCCTCTGTGGATGGAGCAGCATGGCGCCTGTGGCGGTTCCATGGAACAGGTCCTGTGTGGCCCCCCTTGCTGCACTCTTGTCCTGTATTAGAGAACCATGGTTCTGCCTG